CTTCCTCCTCTTAGAATATCCAATAGTGCGCCTGTAACTCCACCTCTTTCTTCTCCAACCTCTAGAGGTTCAAAGCGAAAACCTGACTGGGACTCCCTTACTAATGGCTGTCTAAACTCCTTGCGCCACCCTCTTTTCGCAGCTTCTGCCCCTTCAAGCCCTACACGTCGCCACCATCTTACACCTGCCACAATACCAGAATGTGATGAGTCTGATGCTTCCACTGTGGACTCCGGTCGTTGGGTCAGTTTCCAGACAGGGGCACCATCAGTAGCTCCACCTTCACCCACATTTAATCTTATGAAACCAGTGGCTGAGCAGAGTGTTCTTCAGAACACTATTAATGGGCATGGGGGAATGGCGTGGGGGAACAGTACAGAGAGGGGACGAGGCTCAGAATTTGAGTTTGAGAGCGGCACACTGAAAGCTTGGGAGGGTGAGAGAATACATGAGGTAGGGGTGGATGATCTGGAGCTTACACTTGGAAATGGGAAGAACCATGTTTAAGCTTCCACAGGAAGGTTTAGCTTGAGAATGTGTATAACCAGGAGGGAAGATCTTAAGATGTTATCTGGATTTCACTGTGCATTTCTCAGTGGTAATTGGTTATCTTTGCAGCTGAGTAGCATTGCTTGGTGTCTACTTTGATTTCTGCTACAATTGGGAGACTTCAAAATCTTATTTGGTGCATCATGTATTTCGTTAAATGTACAGTTTACTCTCTCCTGGGGCTGTTACAGAATCAAATCCTATCGAATTTGTTGGTTAAAGAGCAATGTTTTGGGCACACTTCACAGAAGGCCTTAAATTCTGAAATCTTTCATGTGGAGAGGAAAGACCCAAGCAAGTTAAAATTTCGGGGTGCCATCTTCACTCAGTTATGTGTGAAATATCTTCTTCAGTTCTTCATTGGTCATAGGCCCCTAATTAAGTTGTCATCAGTGGGATAGTCTCTCCAGCTTGAAGCACATAGAATGCATCTTCTCTGGAGCACATACTCATTTGTAGACACTATTGGAGAATCACATTCTCAAATTTGTTGAAGGTAGTTATTTTTAGATCTATCTTGTCAGAAAATAGTCTCTTTCTTTTTACCTTTAAGTACTGTATTAGCAATTCATGACATCGATCTTTCATTCCATGTCTAAAGTTCTTATTATATCTTCATAACTCGAACCGGGAGTTCGGTGTTTCTAATTATACAAATTTATAAATAAACCCAATCCTAGACATGTATTTATAAAAAAACCCAAGCACTATTTAAACATAGAAACACACCCAAAGTCAACTTTTTGGGTGTGTTTATAAATGGGTTTTGAGTGTGTGTAATGATGGGTTTTGGGTGTGTTTATATGTTTAAATAGTGCTTGGGTTTTTTTATAATTTCAACCCCCATTTTGGGTGTTTTAGTGAAACTCCCTTCTAATTAAGCTCGTTTTAGATATTTTTAACCAGGGCTTTTAAAAGCTAGGTGTTTCTAATTAAGCTTCTTTTGGATATTTCTATCTAACTGAGGGTTTTAAAAGCTAGGTGTTTCTTTCAGTCTTTCAGAGAAACAATGAACCATAAATTGGGAGGACAGTGGGGGCTGATGAGATCTGCAATAAGTTTGAATGTGATTTTCTTCTGTAGGGCCATGTCCTTGTGCCTGAAGGTTTTGATTTCTTATCCATTCAGATGCAAGTCATACTGAGCTTCCCCGTAGCTTGTTGCCTTGTTGTGAGTTGTGTGTGTGTGGGTCAAAAAAGCATCTTAGAACGAAACCTCCTAGCGGGCCCTTTGCCATGTGATATGTGTATCTTATGAATCCCATGTGACCTAAGCCACGCTTGATGTCTCAGTGTACCAACCAATTCAATAACTTTGCTTCCGAATTATTGGTGGATCTGCTTTTGACTGCATTGCTCCCTCAAGCAGCCCTGCAGTTCAATAATCGATATGAATCTGTTCTTTTCCATCTTTTGCACCCAGCGAGTTTTATTCATATAAATATTGACAAAAATAAAAAAAATTATTCATATAAAGAAAACCCAGTTAGAGGAATAGCAGGACAACACTTTTTGGGTTGGTCACTGACATTGTAGATAAGATAATTGGCATGATAAAGAGCAGAGTTTCTAATTTCTTGCGGGTCAGTTTATGCCAGCCTTTATCAAATAGCCGTGTTCGGGTCAGTCGCTCATATGGGTGTGAGCGGTTTCCAACCATTTATGCATCTGCGACCCATAATGAGAGCCGGCTATTTACATGTGGGTGACTCTCTAGCAAAATCCTTAAAAGTGAATGTATACTATAATGCTAATCCAAGCTGAGCACAAGTCTGCTATAAATGATCCAGCCCTGTGATGTGAGTAAATACTTTGAACCACGCAAAAGCAAATCAAAAGTGTTTCACTCTGCGAATTTGATCGTCCCAAAAAAGAGCCTAGAGAATCTTTTACAAATTAAATGGCTGATGATTTTTTGGATGATATGTGAACCCAAAAGAGAGCCTAGAGAATCTTTTAAATATTTTCACCTGAAGTATCATCAATGAGCTTGGACCTTTCAGACCAAAAAAAAAGCTTGGATCTTGTTCCCAGTTTAGAATTACTGTCACTTTTAAAAAAAGTTTTTTATGTTGTACTTTGAAAATAGTTAGCTATAAAGTAAAGCAACTCCTTATTTGGTAAACAATATTTTTAAAGTACTGTTAGTATAAAAAACACTGTCAAAACTATTTGGTAAATTTTAATATAAAATTATTGTAACTGTGAATAATGACTAAAATAAACATGATGTTAAAAGTGTTATGTACTAATCATGTGGTGGTAGTAGTAGTGATGGAGTGGAGGTAGTGGTGGTGATGAAGGTGGAGTTGGTGGTTGTGATTGTGGTAGTGGTAGTGGTGGTGGTGGCGGTGGTGGGGATGGCGATTTTGGAGGTGGTGGTGGTGGTAGTGGCAGTATGGTGGTGGTTGCAGAGGTGGTAGTGGATGTGGAGATTTTGGAGGAGGAGGTGGTTGTGGTGGTGGAGGTGGTGGTTGTGGTGGTGGTGGCGGAGGATAAGGAGGAGAAAGATGTGGTGGTGGTGGTGGAGGTAGTGAATGTGGTGGTACAAGTGGTGGAGTTGGATGTGAAAGTGGAGGTGGTGTCATTTTTAAAAATGAATGATGGTATTTGGGGAATTAAAAAAATTTATTAAAAGTTCATCTCTGCTTCTTTTGAAAGCAGCTTTGAAAAACAACCTAGAGCCTGCTTTTAAAAGCTTTTGTCAAAAGGCCATTGCTTTTAAAATAATCGGGATATTTTATTTTTACCAAACACCTTAAATTGCTTAACTTTAAAGTGAAGCAGGTTTTTGGCGAAAAAAGCAATCCCAAACGGGTCTTAGGCTGAATAGGCATTCTGCTCCTATGACCAAAGTCGCACTGATCAGTGGATCTCTATAGCTATTGGAGGCCTTGAAATCATAAAGCACTCTTTTGCCAAGCCCAATAAAAACTCATGTGGTCTTATTAGCGCGCACACCACACAATATATATCTATATGGTTAATGCTAACATCTTTTTTTCTAACCTTCTGAAATTATTTGTATGATGACTAAAAATGCATAGAGGGGGGTGAATAGACCAATTTAAAATTATAATTAATGAACAAAAAATAAACTTCGATAGTAGGATTGATATGACTTATCAATCCTGAAATGTGTTGAACATAAAATAAAGGAACACACAGAGAATTATTTTACTTGGTAAAAACTCACCTCTGAGAAAAATCCACGAGACTCCTCAATCCAACACAAATCCACTATAAAACGATGATTACAAGAAGTACTTATATACTTATCCTAGACACACTTTCTAGATAATGTTTATCAACTTTTTTGTAACCTAACTTCTATCACGGAATGATCTTTCGACACTCCTTATGTTGAACGCAATATAAGTCACGATTGCTTCAAGCTCGCTGGAGGAAAATTGCCACCACGGTCTTGGTGCCTTCAACCGTATGAGTCACCAAACATGCAAATGAATGCAAAATGCATGATTAAAGTGTGATAGATCACAAAGTAAATATGGAACACTTGATGATTTATCTCAAATATATGCACAACAGTATTTGAAACAAGAAAGCACACCATCTTTTTATATGCAACGCATTCTCCTTTTTGCAAGTGAAGTCCACCACGCCACGTGAACAATCTCTTGCAATTGATGAGATTTGATTCTTAGAATCATATTTAATTTTGTCAGCTTATGCATTGTCACAGATGGCTTTGACTCCAAACGATTGTTAAACAAGAAAACAATTTACACATAAATTTATAAAGTGATAAGTATATGTTTAGAAAATAAAAAATATAAAAATTTATATTAGACAAGCCCGTAATAATATAATAGAGGAGAGATAAAAGCCACTCATCCAGAGCCTAGGAGTGGCTCTGCCTCTGATGCTAGTGTAGATGGTGATGTACTATTGACATAATTTCATTCTAAAAGCTACCATTCAAACCCATTGACCTAACATCACTTACTGTTGTATTGTTGACGTGCGTGGTTTTCTTCGGAATGATTACTTTTTCATAATTTCCATAAAAAGAGCACTGCCATATTCTCTAGAGACTAGTCGCTTTCCTTGCCGTCACCAAATTTGACTCCAGAACGTTCCTGCAGAAAAAATCTCGCCATCTGCCGAGTTCCAAGTTTTGCAATTTATTTGACACTTTGCTCCCTTTTAATAATTCACATGAATATTATATCAAGATTGCGATCAATTATCCTTCTTAATTAGATTATCATCTAATTCCCCTTACCCAAATAAATAAATAAATAAATAAATTTAGTTCTATTGATTCATCATCTTCATTATTCCATTTTGGCACAGCTAATTCAAATCAGCATGACAATAACTCAAAGTAAGCAACGTACTTCACACGTTTATTAGTTTAATTTAATTACAATATCTGATACTGATATATTGTGGATTTATAAAATAAATTTAAATAAATTGATACCCGAAATTGTAAGTCCCTTCCACTACTTAAAGCCCAGCTACGCACTTTCCCTCAGAAAGCAAAAGTCCAGAACTAAGCCACTGCTCTATTGGTTTTTGGACACATATCTGCCACCTCTTTCAGTGACATATACGATCACCATGATCTCAAAGCCACATGCTGCCATCCTCTGCAGCCCTGGCATGGGCCACCTTATCCCTGTCATTGAGCTCGCAAAACGACTTGTCAACCACCACAACGTCACCGTCACCATCTTCGCCGTCCAGTCCAATACTTCCAAGGCTGAATCCGAGCTCCTCAAGGCAGCCACGAGCCCGAAATTCTGTGACATCATTGAACTCCCACTGCCGGACATTTCCGGCCTCCTTGACCCCGACGCCGGTATCGTCATGAAACTCTCAGTCATGATGCGAGAAATACGACCTGCTTTTCGGTCGGCAATTCTGGCCGAGGACTCTCCTCGTCCCACCATCCTTATCGTGGACCTCTTTGGCACTGAATCTCTCCCCATTGGCGACGAGCTTGGGGTTCCCAAGTACGTTTACATTGCTTGCAATGCATGGTTCTTAGCGTTGACTGTCTACGTGCCAATTCTCGATAAGGAAGTGGAAGGAGAGTACGTGGATCAACCAACAGTATTTGGAATACGTACGGATGGGGGTTGAAATACCAAGGAGTGATGGAATTTTGCTCAATATCTGGAAGGATTTGCAGCCCAAAACATTGGATGCATTCAAGGATGAGAGCCTCTTGGGTGGAGTGGTTAAGGTGCCGGTTTATCCTATTGGACCTTTGACGAGATCGGCCAAATCAGCCGGTCCAACAGGTTTAAGGGACGGCGACTTGTTTAACTGGCTGGACAAGCAACCCAGTGAGTCTGTGATATTTGTGTCATTAGGCAGCGGGGGAACTTTGACCTACGAGCAAATGACAGAGATGGCGTGGGGTTTGGAGCTGAGCCAGCAAAGATTCATTTGGGTTGTTCGACCACCCACCTCAAAAGGCGCAGATGCTGCTTTTTTCACTTCAGGTCATCTCTAATTTTGTAAATATATCATCAACTATTTTAGATGCTCATGAACATTGACACTCAATACCTTACTTCATCAGGAAAAGGAGATGATGACCCGTCGAGCTATTTGCCCGAAGGGTTCTTGACCCGAACCCGAGAGATTGGGCTGGTTGTGCCTATTTGGGCTCCCCAAGTGGACATCTTAAGCCATCCATCAATAGGAGGGTTTTTCTCACACTGCGGCTGGAATTCAACCCTAGAGAGCATCATCAATGGAGTGCCAATGATCGTGTGGCCTCTCTACGCAGAGCAGAGGATGAACGCCACGTTGTTGAGTGATGAGCTTGGCGTGGCCGTGAGATCTAAAGTTCCTCCATGGAAGGGAGTCGTTGAAAGGGAGGAGATAAAGAGAATGGTGAGAAAGATAATGGTGGAGGAAGATGGGATTGCAATAAGGGGTAAGGTCAACGAGCTAAAACTGAGTGCAGTCAAAGCTTTGAGCCAAGGTGGTTCTTCGTATAATGCACTGTCTCAAGTGGCAAGTACAACTAAATGAGCATTAATTCTGCTTGTGATGTAGGACAAGATATGGGTTAATTCTGATGGGAAATATTAAATAAATAAAGTGGTTTAGAAATGGGAAAGAAATTGTGTTAGAGCGGAAAATTTCGATTAAGTATCAATTATGGTGCTAGGAAAAGAAGGAAGGCATATCGTTGGGATTTTCGGATTGCTTGAGCAAGTTTGTAGCACTATGGATTGTTGTAAGATTTATATTTTATTTTATTTTATATTTCAAGAATAAGTAGTATGTTAGGATTTCAAATTTTTTTTTAATAGTTAAGTTTAAGGAATATTATGGAACCTATGGTTTCCTATGATTTTAGTGTTTTTTTGGTTTTCTATTGAAGCCAACTCATGACGTTAAATTTATGAATTTATTCATATTATTAATAAAAATCAAAGACTTTTCTCTATTTGCCGGTGGATTCTATATCGTTGATGAATTTCAGCCTTATTGTTTTAGAATTATTGTTCGATTTCCCTTTACACGTCCTTCAGTGATGCGTCACGCTTGTTGTTTTTATTATCTACAGTAATATTAATTTTGATGGGTGTAATGATGTGTCTCTCTTGATTCTACGCAAATTAAGCGAAAAAAACAATTCGTATTGCACAAGTTGATGACTGGTTTGGTTAGCGTAAAGATATTTTCTTTTGTCCCGTGGTCCGAGACAGACAACTGAATAAGTGATGAAGCCTGCAGGCTGGAGCCCTCCACAATTGAACGAGGGATTGAAAACTTTTCACCATATTCGATAAGTCTCTACTTTTCCTGTTAAGCTGCTTTTCTTTGTATCACTGATGCATCATTTTACTGATATTTTCTTTCTCCAGAAAAAAAATAAAATAATAATTACGAAAGTGGATTTGTAGGAAAGGAAGAAGGCAATTTGATCTTCGCAATTTGTCTTGAGTATACCAAGTCAAGTCAAGTGGGATTTGATCATTTGGATAAACGTAAACACATTCAAATTAAGTAAGTTGCTTTTTTTTTCTTTTTTTTACAACCAGTTCATAATAATAGTCATTAATCAGACAAATTAGGTGGTGTAGAAAAGAAGAAAATATGTTCAATTTAATATGGAAAAGTCAACAAGAGTCAACGGTCCACTTTGATGCCTTTCGTTTCGTTTTACGTTTCTCCAAATTACTTTTAATTAATTAACTAACCTTGCATCACTTATGCTTTTGGTCTCATAATGCATCGAGAAGACATGGGATCTGACGTGATTATTATGCCTCCTCCTCACTTAGGTTCAGAATGGGGTTACTTACTATTACTTCTTTTAAAAGTTGATTATACTGAGCTTTGAAAATAATCCACTATAAAGTAAAACATATCCATATTTGATAAATAATATTTTTATAGTGTTGATAGTATAAAAAACAATATCAAAATCGTTCGGTAGATTTTAATATAAAACTATTATAACTGTGAAGAATTATTAAAATGGACATGATGTTGAAAGTGTTATATAGTAACTATGTGTTGATGGTGATGGTGATGGTGAGGTGCCGGGGAAGGGGGGAAGGTATTGGTGGTGATGGTGATGATACTGATGGATGTTGATGTGGATGTTGTGGTGGAGATGGAAGGGGTGGTGGTGAATAGAGGTGGATGCGATTCTGTGCGAATGTGGTTGGATCCAATAGGGTCAAAAGCCAAGGCGAGCTTTACACAAACCCTAGAATATCCCTGCGAATGTGGTTCGATTCTGTCCTTAGCTTTTTGTTTCTTATATTTATCTTTATTTCCGTTTTCCTATAATATTACCCTTTACAAATTACATCTCCGTGCCGATTTGCTGTCTCTAATTTGATGTCCTCTTGGTGGTTGTCCCTGTCTTTTATTTGGCAAAAAAAATTTAAACTAAAAAAAAATCCCCAAACACCAAGGGATCGTACGCATCTCAAGTAACCCTATCTACTGGACAAGATCAATTCATGCATTAAAGATTAAAAAAAAAAAAAACATGTATCATTGATCAACAACACATATATAAGTATTTAAATAAATAAAATAATAAAAACAAGCTCCCAACCCTTTTGGGTTGGTGGCCTCCCTTCCTTCCCTTCCTCTCTCCTCTCATCTCCTCTGCCCCTCGTCCCTCCCCTCCTTCAATCCCCTCCCTTGGGCTTTTACCAGCTTTTAGCAGACTTGTGATGCCTGGTCATTTTGTGTGGTCGCTTTTGTTTTCTTTGTGTGTCTTCATTTGGAAGAGATTTGAAGTTCCTGCTTTAGATTTACTTATTGACGACGAAGGTGACAAAGCAGCTTTCATTTTCTGTTGTGTAATGTAGCCTATATCTCCCTATGAGAGTTTAAACATGCGACAGATGTAAGCTATTAATTTGTTCCCTATTACACAGACCAATGGTTTATGAGGAATTGGAGATTTTGACTACGCAAAGCACCATGCGAAAGATGGCCAAGTTGAAGTCATAAAATTATATTTTTATTTTTATTTTTTAAAAGGCCATTTAATTATGGTAGTGAAATGGATCTATGTCTAGATGAGGATGACTGATTTCATTTTTTACGGATTTTTGTTATTTGATTATAGCACGTAGTTTTGACCATGACTTGATTATGACCTTTTTTTTGTTTGACCATGGATTAGTTTGCAAAGATGAAAGAAATAAACGAAAATAATGGGCATGGTCAGCCACATGGCACATGGGGGAGGTCTGCATTATGAGCATCCGGTTAGCACACAAACCCAAACCAAGATTACATATATATAATATAATGGAAATGATGCTGGCTAGGTTTTTTTATAAAAATTATTTGAGATTTAACCACCCAATATTATGCATATTTTTTTTCTTAAAAAACTTATCTTACTACATACAGATCAATCAATATTTCCAATCCGAAAGCAACACCATCATCTTCAAGCCGACCCAATGAATGATATGTTTTTAAAAGCTAGTCATACTTAAAGGTCTTTATCTTTTTGTTTTAATTTAGTCTTCAAAATATAACCATTAGCTCCAACTTCTCTATAAGTAACATATTTATATATTCACTAAAATAATAATAATCATTAAACATAATTACTAATTAAAATAATTCAAAAAAGTTAAGATATTACTTAATTACATATATATTAAATTAATGAAGTTGGCCAAAAAACAAAAGTAAAGAAACTAATTTTATATTTTTAAAATTAAAGACAAAAACACCTTTTCCAACTAAATTTCGTCGGCACAAATCTATGCCGGCAAATATTTACTGGAACATTGAACCGCACCAGATGGCAAAAACCAGAAAAAAACAGTGTTGACTAAAAAGTGTAACAAACCGGCACCGAACTTGACCGGATTATACCAAATCGGAGCGGATCGACTGTGTATATCCATTTATATATTTTAAATTATTTAAGTCCAATGTAAATTTCTAATCTCATAACTAATATTTCCCCAAGCCCAACTTCAAAACACCTTTCTTTTCTTGACAGAATCATATCTTTTTGCATGAAATTAGATCATTTGTGAATTTTTAAGCCCAAAAAATAAAATTTTAGTTGGAATTTGTTTTTAAAAAATTAAAAATAATAATATCCGATCCGAAAATCAGAAAAACTGGACCATAACCAATTTAAACTGGACTAGCCTGTTTTATAAATTTTTTACATGATTATTATGCCTCCTCACTTTAGGCTTAGAATGGGGTTTACTTACTATTACCTTTTTAAAAGTTGATTATGTTGTGCTTTGAAAATAACTCACTGTAAAGTAAAACAATTCCATGTTTGGTAAACAATATTCTTAAAGTGTTGATAGTATAAAAAATATGTCAAAATCGTTTGATAAATTTTAATATAAAACTATTATAATTCTAAATAATAACTAAAATGGACATGATGTTGAAAGTGTTATGTGCTAACCATGTAGTGATAGTCATGGTGGTGGTAGAGTGCAGGGGGAAGGAGGGAGGGTATTGGTGGTGATGGAAGTGGAGGTGGTCGTGATGATAGTGATTGATAGAACCTGCCTTCTACCTTAACTCAATATCTCAAGAACAATAATATTATTTCTTTCACAAAGAACAAGATACAATTTCTCAAACTAACTCCCTCAAATACAAACTCACTTAGTTAATATAGAGTTAACCTAACCAACTGTCAACTAACCATAGCCTAATTGATGGTTAACAACTAACCCTAGTTCCAACTTATATAGAGATTCCTATCAGTGATGGTGGTAGAGGTGGAGGTGGTGGTGGTGGTGATGTGAATGTGGAAGTGGATGTGGAGATGGAAGTGGTGATAGTAATTGTAGCGGTAGTGGTAGAGGTGGATGTGGATGTAGATGTGGTTGGATTCAATAGGGTCAAAAGCCAAGGCAGCTCTACACAAACCCTAGAATATCCCCTTGATAAAAACAAAAAAAATAAAAAAAATAAAAAAAGAAAGAAAAAAACCCTAAAATGTCCTTAGCTTTTTGTAGGAAACCAAATAGCAATCTTCCTTTTTCTTAATTATCTTTATTTCCGTTTTCCTATAATATTACCCTTTACATCTCCGTGCCGATTTGCTGTCTCTAATTTAATGTCCTCTTGGTGGGTGTCCCTGTCTTTTATTTGGCTGAAAAATTTAAACTAAAAAAAAAATCCTCAAACACCAAGGCATCGTACGCATCCCAAGTAACCCTATCTAGTGGAGAAGATCAATTCATGCACTAAAGATTAAAAAAAAAAAACATATATCATTGATCAACAACACACATATAAGTATTTAAATAAATATTTAAATATAAAAATATATAAAATAATAAAAACAACCTGTTCATCCATTTGATATTTGTTCCTGTGATGGTAGTTTAAAGTTCCCCATTGTCTTGAGAACCATTGACTGGTCAACAAGTCAACTTTCTTTAGTGTGCAAGCGTGTCACTGCTAGCAATGAAAAAATCATAGCAGACTTTAAAATAGATAACTTGCGCCCCAAGTTACTGATTTCTAATCAAGCGGTTGTGAATTTGGGTGAGGAATATCTCCCAAGTAAATTCTTTTCTTGCCTCAGACTGGTAAAGACTTCACAATTTTTCACAGTACAAGACTGGTAGTTCTGGCTAGAATAAATAATAATACAGTGAACTGTTTTCAGGCGGAACTGTCTTTTACAAGATTCAAAAGAGAAAAACCAACTCTAGAAAGACAAAAAGAAGGATGCACTTCCATTTCTGCCTGGATAGAAGCTTCTGATCAGGGCTGGACTGGATATGTTTGTG